CCGGTGAGTCTCGTGAAAACCAACGTTTGTTAACAGGAGCAAAGGAAGCAAAGTTTCCTTACTTTAGCAAAGGAAAACCAGTCTCCTCTTGGCTTATATCGAAATCCTCCGACATTCTTCTTTACAAATCCTCGTTTTGTACTTCTAATTCGAGACCGTTGCTTTGTTTTGATCTCTTCCTTGCGCTTCCGTGTTCGTCACTTCTGAGCGGCGCATGCGCAACGCAGACGCCTATGTCATCCGCCCGAAGCTGCTTCCGTGTACAACAGTGTGCACAAGCTAGATTAAATTGATTACGTTTTAATATGGTTATTTTATACAGGAGGACTTTGTTGACCCCCCCGGAGCCGTGTGAGGCACTTTTTATTATGGATGGATGCTCTTTATTTCACTTCTTTTGGACTGATGAACTGCAACACCTGCTGACTGCCATTAAACAGCTTGGAAGATCAAATACAATTTTTTATAAAACTCCGACTGGATTCATCTGAAAGAAGAAAGTCATACACCTAGGATGCCTTGAGGGTGAGTAATTCATGGGCTAATTTTCATTTTTGGGTGAACTATCTCTTTAAGGGTAAACTCAGTAAATGAAAGTGACAAATCCAGACTGTGCCCGCACCTGAACATGATGCACTTGCAATAAAGAGAAGAGTTTGTTGAAGCAGGTGCTCAACATGGGGATGGAAGAGGCTTGTACCATCAGACTGCTACTGGGGGGAGAGCTATGGAATCCACGCAAAAGAGAGTCATCTGTCCCATTTGCAGACTGGGTCACTAAAAAAAAAAGAAGAGAAAAAAAGACCATGAGGAGTGGGGACGATATTAGTTCAATTAAGTCGAATCACTTTAGAAAAAACAAAACAAAAACGCATGGCTCCCACAACTTTGTACCAGTGAAATTTACTTTAACAATTATTAGTAATTACCAGAAAAGAAAATTTTATAAAAAAAAAAGAAAAAGATTTTGTTTAGCTCACAATTTCTGCAAAAAGAAATGTTTTAGAACCGAGTCTGAAATTGAAAAATGTATACTCACTATACACTATTCAAGATTTCATTATTTAATAAATGGATAACTTTTTCAGTGCTGGAAATAATATATAAATAATAAACATAAAAAATTTTTTTTTTAAAAAGTCCTTGCTATTTCCTTTACTGCGGGAACCCTGTACACATGCTTTTGTGTGTGTACCAGAAGGAGATGTGGACGTTAGCGCCTGCAGTATTGCGTCTGCCTCCAGTGTTGCCATCATCTTCAGCATGAGTTCTGCCTGCTGTTCTAATCCCACTTCCAGTCGAGCGTCCAGTGCTGGGATAAAAAATTAAGGTGCTTTACCACTCAGATTTTATTATAGCTTTTATTTTATTGATTTATTTTGACACTTCTCACCCTGAGACACAGACACTGAGAGGTTCTGAGATCCAGGCTTCTCTGTCGTGGCAGCCGCAGGGGGTTTGGACACAGGTATGCCCACACCCCCTGTGTAGGGGTTATAACTGTATGAGCCATAGTCAGCACCCCAGTAATCGTACCAGGTACTACTGATCGGCTGCAAGAGAGAACATAAAGAAACAAACAAAAAAACAAACAAAACAAAAACAATCTCAGATACTTGTCTCTGAGGAAAAACTGAAAAATACTTTACTGGAAAAGCTGTTAAAACATTGGCTTTGTGTAAAACAGCTCTAAATATTACTAATCGTTAATTACATAATGCATGCAAGATAGGGGTGAAACAGTTAATTGCACAGTTCACTTCCCCCAGTTCTTTATGCATGTTTATACCATGTAACTACGAGAATAAATGTTGTGTGAATTATAATTTGTCTACTTTCAATAGTAATTATTATGGTATTATGGTTATTTTCCATGTTGCTAAATCGCTGTACTTTAAGACATTTCACAATGTAAATGTCTGTAAACAGTGTGCTACATTTTCTAGCAATTGTGATAAGAGCTTTTGCAAGAAAATGAGTAATCGGATGGGTATGAGAAAGTCAAGAGGTTAAAATATGGGTTAAGATAATAATATGGGCTATCAATGTAGCCCATATTTTAGCAATGTGCTAAAATAAAACAGTGACCACAGAACCGTGAGAAATTTTAACCATTACACACCTAATGCTGAAAGACAGAAAAGGAAAGATAAAGAGAACGAGGTCCATACCTTGAAAACCTTGGCGGCGAGTGGATCTTTTTCCAAATCAATATCTAAAGGATCAATATCAACATCCATCAAGTCTTGTAGCAAGTCAAAGTCAATGTCTTTATCTTTTTCCAAAGATGACAGTGGAGAAGCACCTTTGGGCAACGAAAAGACCTTTAATATTGCAAGAGCAGCATACCAAGAGAAGCAACTACACAGACAGCCTTCTTTAGGACGTCCAGCTGTCAAACTTCTCTTAGACCGACAGGGCGCCCGAACAGTGGATTGTTGACCCATTTTGAATAAGTTTTGACATAAATCTAACCCAATAATAAAATGACCAGCAGCTATAGGTTTTACATGTATATAGAGTCAAAATCATCTGCACTGTTCCAACCTCCTGTCCACTGCATTATACCACTATTACATATTATAAAAAAACAAACACAAAAAAATACACATGCAGCTCATCTAAGAGAGGAAAACAAACTAATAAACAACAGAAACAAAAGAAAAGTGAGGGTCCGTGTGAGGTGACGTGCTATTCGGGCAGGGTTACCAACGCACTTTGGAACACAGAGGATGTCCCGGGTGTACCTGCGATGATATCGGGTCCCAGAGGCTCATCGATGGTCTCCACCAGTGGGATGGGGGTCGGCTGGGGGAGCGAGTCATCGGAATCCACCACTACAGAGGAAGAGGCGGCCCCAGCCTCATCAGCCCCCGCCCCCTCCATCCCATCCACACACACCGGAGACAATAGCTCTCCTGCAAACAGTTACAACATCTAAATATAAAACATGGATATGTAAAACATGTATGACAGTCTGTGGGCCACTGAGACCGCTGAGAACATCTAAAACACATACACACACACCTGTAAGAATGTCCTGCAGCATGCAGGTGAGAGAGTACTGGGCCCAGGCTCCGCCCCATGAGATGTCCGCGCGGTTGAAGTCCGTTCCCACCAGTAACAGCAGTAACCTCTCCAGCTGCTGCTCTGAAACCACCTCACACAGGTGGATTGTGGGTCGTGTTGCATTTGCTATTCTGGCCAATACCTGAGCAGATGGATGAGATTTAGAACATTTAAGAAAGACATTGTCTAAAACATATACACGATCATTCAAAAATTTGAAGTCAGACTGATTTTTTTTTAAAGAAATTGATACTTTTTTTCAGCAAGGATGCATTAAGCTGATCAAAAATGACAGTAAAGACATTTATGTTTCTATTCAAATAAATGCTGTTTTTTTGTTTGTTTGTATTCATCATAGAATCCTGAAAAAAATTTAGCACTGCTTCCACAAAAATCAGCAGCAAAATCTTTTTAACATTGATATTAATAAGAAAAATTACTGAGCACCAAATCAGAATATTAAAGTGATTTCTAATGCATAATTTGACAATGAAGACTGGAGTAATGGCTGTTGATTTTTCCATCATAGAAATCATTTTTTCTTAAACATATTAAAATCAGCCCATTTAAAAAAACAAAACAGCTCATTTAAATTGTAATAGTATTTCACAATATTTTTGTTTTACTGTATTTTTGATCAAATAAATGCATTCTTTGTATTCTTTGTAAATGCATTCTTTGAAAAAATAATTTAAAAATCTTAAAGACCCCAAAACCTTTTAGTGTACCAAAATTAAATAGCATTTAAAACAGCACACTTTTTTTCTGTATGTCAAAAACTATGTTGCACCTTGCAGACAAACAGTAGCAGGTCTGCGTGACAGGTAAAGTCCATGGAGAGGAGGAAGAGAGCAAGCTTCTGGACGACGCAGATGCAGCGCTCGTGAGATAGCGTGAAGGGCAGGAGCTCCACCTCAGGGATCTCTTTTGCCACTGACGCCTCTGAGTCCAAGGTGGAGCGTGGCCATTCGGCTGTCCGTCTCAAACGGATCAGATCTTTAAAGTGCTGCCAAAGAAAAAGAACCACAGGGATAATGTTACGATCTGTTCAAAGGCTACTTTTATCACTGAATGTTGTCCCACACCCACCCCTAAGGGACACGGAGTTGAGAAAAGTTTGGATTCTCACCTTGGATGTGGCTTGTTTGAGTTTGGCTTGTTCCACCAGCAGCTTGTAGGAGGAGCCTTTGTTGCTCTGAATTTTCTCTTTCTCAATTTGCTCTACTAAAGCCTTCTGTTTGGCTTTCAATAAATTCAACTGCTGAAATGAAAGGAGAATTGATTAACATCCACACTACAAGTAGAAAGGAAAATATTTCAAGTTCAGATATATAAGCACAGGATGTTTGTGTGAGACACATTTACCTGTTTATGGTGGACTAGCTGTTTGCGGATCTTGCGCGAATATAGCCGATCTAAACTGCTGTTGTTGCCTTTGGCAGATCTGCTTGGGTTATGAGACTGCAGACTGTTGTTTATGAAACTCCACTGGTTCCCTGGAGTGATTGGAAAGAGGAAAACAAAGACACATTACCAGTGAAGAAACATCTCTATACAGTATGCACACTACCATTCAAAAATTTGGGGTCAGTTTTTATATTGGGGTCAATATTTTTATTTAGAAAGGACACATTAAACTGAACAAAAGTGGCAGATGAAAACATATCAGAATGATTTCTGAAGGATCATGTGACACTGAAGACTGAGTAATGGCTGGTGAAAATTCAGCTTTGCTATCACAGAAAGAATTACATTTGATTAGATATTAAAATAGAAAATTGCTATTTTAATTGTAATAATATTTTAGAATTTTTTTTAGCATGAGAGACTTTAAAAACATTTTCAAAATCTTACCAACCACAAAACTTGTGGAGAGTAGTGTATACAAAACACTGGATTTTCAGTTTTTATGCTTGTCCAGGCCTAAGAATCTCACCTGTAAAGGATCTTTCTCTGTCTTTAGACCCCAGAGGTTTCTTAGCTGCAGTGGCTTCATCTTCCACACTCGCCACATAGTCGAGTAGTCGAGAGACCAGCATGACCACCCAGCTGACCATGGGGATATCCAACACACCTATAAACACACACAAAACTGTAACATAACCATAAACGCACATTCCCAATTCTCATTCTCAAACACGCACCTTCTGTCCTGCGGGGCTGTGATGCGCTAGTCTGTTGCAGAGGCGATAACAGTGTGTCCAGAAGGTTCAACAAACCCTCTAAAACCCCACTGTTACCCAAAGATCTTTGGCCAATACAGGACAGCAACATAAATACCCTGAGGAAACGACAAGACGGATAAACATGAAGTCTGAGTATCCTCGGGAATAGTTCTGATAATTTTATACAACTTCTGCAAGAGTGTGTTGTTTGTGTTACCTGTCCTGAGGGAAGATGAGCAGCTGCTCGGAGTTGTAGAGCTCCTGCAGGACGTTGGACAAGAATTGGCCCCACCACCTCTCGCCTCCACACAGCTGCACCAGCAGCAGACCTGCATGCAGACGGATCTTAGGAGTTCCACTGATGCACAGCTGTTTAAAGAGCTCCTCACACGCCTGGGCGTGAAACGTGTTCTGCAACACTGAGGGCACAGAGTGACCTGAGCAAGAGAGAGGGAAACATTCATTCTGACATTAAAACTGAAGGACTGGAATAAGGTCAATTCAAATGTAATGTCACTTTTAAAAAGTCAGGTGGTGTTGGGAGCGGCTGCCTCCCTCACCATTACAGCAGTGCAGCAGGCTGAGCAGCGTGTCCAACAGGTATCTGATGATAGTTCTGAGCTGCTCGGTAGAAGAGTTCTGGACCAGCTCTCTGGGGTCGTAGTTCTCGGGCAGGTGTTTCCGGGTGGCTCCCAGAGACACACGCAACCTCTGGACAGCGTGGTGCGCCAGGTTGAGCTGCAGCTGGAGCTGAATGCAGTCTTGGTAGGCAGAGAAAACACGGGAATCCTCCTCAACGGCTTTATCGGGCTTGCGCAGGAAGTACTGTGCATTATTAGCACTGTTAAGAGGTGGCAGGTCGATGTTCTGAAGTAGTGTCTCAAGTCGATGACAGGCCAGATTATACCTATAAGAGATTAGCATATTTAATACAGCATAAATTCCACCTATACCATTTGTGCAAAATGAAAACTTGCATTAAAAATGTTAACGAAATCTTTTAATTATTAGCACTTATTACAGTGTAATTCTAAATACATGACCATTCAAAAGTTTGGGGTTCGTAAGATTTTTTAATATTTTTGAAAAATTGTCTCTTATGTTCACCAAGACTGCATAATTTAAAATAAACATTTAAAATAAGTGTTTTCTATTCTAATATGTTTAAAAATATAATTTATTCCTGTGATGGCAAAGCTGAATTTTCAGAACAGTTTTTCTACATAATATTTTTGTGGAAACCGTGATATTCTTTTTTCTCAGGATTCTTTGATGAATAGAAAGTTTAAAAGAACAGTGAAATTAAATTTGTAACGTTATATGTCTTTACTGTCACTTTTGTTCAACTTAAAAGGGGTCATATGATGCTTTTTTTAAAGATCATTATTTTGTGTATTTGGTGTAACAGAATATGTTGACATGCTTTAATGTTCAAAAAACACATTATTTTTCAAATACTGTACATTATTGTAGGTCCTCTATGCCCCGCCTCTCTCAAACGCTTCGTTTTCTACAAAGCCCCGCAACACTCCAAAGAGAAAGGAAAACTTGAAATCGCATCATATGACCCCTTTAACATGTTCCTGCTGAAGAAAAGTAAGAATTTCCTTAAAAAAAATAAAATAAAAACTAAATAAAACTTGCTAACCCCAAATTTTGAATGGTAGTGAATGGCAGCTCATTTAAAATTCTGAATTTGCAGCCTCACTGACCTGCACTGAATGTCTTCCTGTAGGGCCACCATCATTGACAAATGTTGATCCAGATCTGGCTGACAGGCAGCTTCGCTCTCTCCCCTCAGAGGATCATGCATCAGCTTCAGTTCACTTTCCCATGGCAGGATATAGGTGTGGCCATAATAAAAACCCAATGGGATTTTAGCCCGGGCATTAGTGCTGCCATATCGACCAATCACAGTGATCTGGGGGAGGGGCACAGAATGAGTGACAGTGATGTCTCAATATAAGAATGATATTCTCTGCATTAAAGCTCACAGAAAACAAACTGCTATGAGCCCTGTACACATTTGATTATGATAAACGTGTATAAACCTTCATGAATCTGCAGACGGGAGGTGGCAGCAAGTCATGCAGAATCAGCGAGTGTGTGCTGATATCTGTGGCGACCACGAGTCGCCTCCCATCCACCTCCTCCCCAAGATTCCAAATGTCGATGGAAAGGGAGGCCAAGTCAGCACATGTGGGGATTAGTGCATCCGTCAGCAACACCGGTCGGCCGAAATCTAGAGTCACAAACCGTCTTGCACCTACAGAGAAAAGACATTGTCTTTACTTCAAAGATCACACGATCCAAATATGTACACCAAAACATATAGCCAAAGCAAATGCTAGATTTTGTATAATATAATGAAAAAAAATTAAGTCATCCTTCCAATTCCCTTGGAAGTTTTCTGGGACCCCTCAGAGGGCCACAAGGTTGAGAACCACTGCTCTAGTGTGAGGGCTGAAGTGGCAAGTACCTGAATGCATTCGTTCGATTATTATGGACTGGTGTGGTGGAGGTTGTAGAAAGTGAGAGGCCTGTGAGATTGCCAATGCCAGGCCACTTCCTATGGGGTTCTGCAATGACAACACACACACACATACACATTAGCTGAACACAACCCACAAGTTTAACTACAGAAAGTAAATAAACAACACACAGCCCCTTACAGGAAAATAAAACATTTATGCTACATTACTAACTAGCCTCTGCTACTGTGCTCAAATTTGCCACAACATCAATTTTGGAGGATATTTGATAAATAACAATAATAATCATTTAAACAGTATGAATATACAAGCACGAGGAGGTTTTCAAAACTTACTGATTTGGCTTTCTGTGCGTTTTTATTCTGTGCTGAAAGGTTCACAGGTGGAGGATCAATGACAGATCCTGGGAAGAGCTGAGCCAGTTCCACACTAATAGCCGCAGACACTGCCTCATTCGGTGGGGTGAGAGGAGGCGTCATGAACAGCGGTGTAGTTTTAGGGGTGGGCGGGATGACGTCAGAGGGGTGGATGAAGAAGCCTGGGGCAGAGGACGGGTTGGATGGCACAGAGTTGACAATGCCTGATGCTGCGGTGGCTGCCGCTGAGGTGGTTTGGTGAAGTTTGGCCTCCAGCTTTGCCTTCTGTTTCAAGAGATAACCAATTACATAAAGTCATAAAGTACTGAATTAATCGAGACATCAAGATTAAAATGAATAAAGAATGTATTCATGTATGACCTGCTGCTGGAGTTTTAGAAGCTGTTGCTGCTTCTCCTGAAGAACTTGAAGCTGCTGTTCGGCAGACACCATTGCATGAGACAGAGACTGCAGGGCCACCTGTGCAGCTGAGCTAAGGGCCGTTGACGCCTCGCCAACCGTCCCGGCAGACAGCCCTGTCATTGTGGGTGTCACGCCAAAGGTGCTCACTGTAGAAGATCGTAAAGGGAAACAGGCTTTAACACTAAAGGTGCAGTCACATTTACTGGTGCTCAGCGAAATATTTCATGCAAAATTCAATAATTTAAATAGAAATCAGATCAAGTTTCACATGACTGTCAAAAAGTTTTTGCAGATTTCAGGAGTTGCTTGCTTGGCTGCTTGGTTTGAAAGTGACATTTGTGTGAGCTGTGCTTCATGCTACACTAGTTTCTGCAAGTGACCACACCTTAAAAGATGAGGTCCATGATGACACAGTTAGTGGTAAAAGAAACAAGATGTGAAAGAGAGGAAAAGGAAAGTGGGATATATACCGGTGAACATACTTGCATCATCCCTCTCCACCCTGGTGCCATCACTGGTGGAGACGCAAGTAAAGTGCAGGGGTTCGACCTCCAGCAGGCCGGTTAGAGCAGTAAAACTGCCCTCTGCCGCCCCACTGCTGTTTACCTTCCCATTACCTGACATTAGACCCAAAAACCATTAAATGTTTGTCTTTCCAATTTTTATATTTATTGATGAATGTAAGTGCATGAGGGAAGAATGCATTGGCACACCTGAGAGAATATCGGACAAGTCAATCTCATCCGACTGGACCCCAATGCTGCTGTTGTAGGCATTCTTACAGGAAGACCCGCTCACCTCCAGGTCAAACAGTACTGGGTCAAATGGAGACCCATACAGACCATATCTGAATAGAGATGACCATGACAAAACTATTTGATTTCCTTAAAATGATCACTTCTACGTGCTCAGAAAAAGCTTTTTTGAACAAATAAATAAAGCTGACCTGGTCTGCAACAGCGCCTCAAGTGGAGTCAGGCGGTCCTGCAGCTGCCGAGAGACAGCAGTGAGCAGAGAGGCGCAAGCAGTACTGCAGCCGGCCAGGTCCTCATCTTTCACATAATTTAACAGGACAAAGTACCAAAAGACAGATCCTGAAGGACGAAGAAAGACAGGAACACAAGCGTTTTAACATTTTTAATTGAATAAGTATAAGTTTTTTTAATACTTAATTAAGAAGTTAATACTTTAAGTATTGTTTAATAAATAGTTTACATTTTTTGAATGAAACAGTCTCATCATCACTATAACAAATATTAAAAGGCACTATACATTTACAACTATAAAAAAAATTACCTCCTGTGGCAGCAGCAGGCAAATAAGGCATATTATCCAGAAGAGCTTTAAACAGAGCCTGGCCAAAACCCTGCTGACCGGGGTCTCCTTTACCGGTACTAAAATGTGAAAGACATTTATCCATTAAGCTTAATGAACAAGACACCACTGTATCTGCACATGTTAAGTGGAAAGTCTAGTTCATCAGTTCTGCAATGAGACTATAATAAGACTGAAGATCAGAAAATAGTGAGGCTGCAAACTCACCTAATGCAAAGTGCAAGAAAGCGAGAGCATTTATGAGCTATACTGCGTCCAGCCTCAAAGAAACATGCCCTGATGATGTCTGTCAGCCGTCTCCTAGTTTTAGTCAAAAGCCCCTCCTTCCCCTCTCTCAAACTAAAGGACAAAGGATTATAAAATTCATTAAAAGAGGCAAAAGATAAAACTGAAAGACTAAAAATGCAGACGCACAGTGACGCCTCACCTGCAGGGTCCGTTGGAGTAAACCCCTGCCAGCCAGCAGAGGATGTCTAAAATGAGACTCTGACAGTGTTCTGAACTCTGTCCGTCTTCTCCATGCTTACACAAACCTCTTAGCAGCTTTTCATGGAGCTCAGGAAACTGAAGCATTGCACAGCGTTGCACTCTGGGAAATAAAAGCAGATAGACAGCACATTCAGACAATGGACTGGCTGTTGTATTCCTTAAAATGCTTCACTGAAACAGGGTAATAATTGCTTTCTTAATGTGCAAACTAACACATGCATACACTACCGTTCAAACACTTGAGTGTCAGTAAGATTTTTTTAAAGGAAATGTATAGATTTATTCAGCAAGAATGCATTAAATTGATCAAAACTGACAACAGAGACACTTTTATTTTAACAAAGACATTTTTATTATTTCTTTCAAATGCTGTTCTGTTGAACTTTCTATACTGTTGAACAGTTATTTGTAATATATCAGAACAGTTTTTACTGTATTTTTGACCAAACAAATGCAGCTTTGGGGAGCATAAGAGACAGAACATTAAAAATCTTACCAACTTCAAACTTGTGAATGGTAGTGTATAGTACATACTTGTATCTCTTACCGTTCTTTTGGTACAGACGTTTTCCTAAATCTCCTAATTGTGACAGACACTTCCTGGAGCAAGTCACAGCCCCGCAGGTTATCAGGCTTTTTAGGGGTAGACTGAGGATCAGCTTTAGACGTGGAGGCCTTTTCCTGAAAAGGAGAGCGATTTTATGAAAATTAGAACTGTCGTGTTGGTCATCATTTGGCCTTTACCTCCATGCAAAGAACACAGATCAAGTGAAGAGTTATATCTTTTATGAAGCAATGCAGCTACACAGCCACCAGAGGTCTGTATAGTAGTTAAGACAACTGAATCTCACCCACAAACCAGCACTCAAAGCTATGACGTTAGTGTTTGCAGAAATGAAACAGCTTGAACAAACACCAAGGATTACACGCTTTAGTTTAAAAAAGCACAAAAGTTAATTACAGTTCAAGTCAGTGTTTGTACTGTACCTTTGTGGCCTGAGCCCTCTGCAGCAGGGATGAGAGCGAGTGAGCTTTACTACTCTGAGGTTTGGCTGAGGGCATCCGCACCACCGGCCTCAAGCTCTCATCCAGACCTTTATCATTCACTGCTTTAATGTGCACCAAGAACGAACGATATTTTCCCCCTGCCATGCCTAGAAAGGGGAATGAAAAGGAAAATGACGATTTCATTTGTTCTAAACATAAGAGAGATTTACAACAGAATTCAGGACTATGACATCAATGTTTTAATGTGCATAATTACATCTCATTTACTAACACCTAAATTACTTTATTTAAAGGTGCAATCAGTATTTTTTTATGTTGCATATTCATGCCAGTTAAATACTGTACGCAGCTCTGCACTTGTTCATAGCTGTGTTTTTTCACTGTTAGTCTACTGGCACACTGTTCGGGCAAACCTTTGAGGAGTTTGGGACTTGTAAGACTCAGCATCCCTGCGTGTCCAGACAGATCCAGTCCACTGGACAACCACACCGGCCCACACAAGATATCATCTTTGTGCTCCTGCAGGAACGGACACAGCCTGGAGCCTGAGACAGATAGAGACTTATTATTAAAAAATGCTGACAGATGTTAGCATAACAGGTGAACGTTTTCAGGTGGTCAAGATGGCTTAATCATCAGGACTCTTACCTGGCGCCTCCTCGATGTCCATGAACTGGATGTCCTCTGAGAAATCGTGCAGGTGAGATTGTCCATTCTTCTCTCCATTTGAGTGCAGGACATGAGACAAGGGGAAAACAATCTGCCTGTCCACTGCTGTCTCTGCAGTACAAAGTGTTACACAACAAAAGATTAATTTGGGGAATAAAATCGGACCAAACTAGCCCACGGAATCTAAGGTATCTTTTTCAGCTTAAGAGTGACTCACCATTCACTTTGCCCAGGCCTGGTGCTTTGTTCTTCAGCAGTGTGACCTGGATTTGTGGGATGTTAGTAATACTGCTGTTTAGCACAAACTTGAAGTCCACATGTCCAACCATGCAGGCTTTGGGCAAGACCAGCTCGAACACGTGCTCGTCCCAGCTGGAGCTGAAAGAGAGATATTACACATTACATGCAAAAAAGGGGGGAAATGTCTACGGAAACATTAAAACATTTTTAATTAAATATTTATATTTTATCTATTTGTGTGTGTGATACTAGAAGAACAACACATAGCTGAAAAAACGTCTCAGCCAATCAGATTTGAGGACCAGAAACAACTGCTATATAAATAAATATATGTACGTATGTGTGATTTTAAAGGGGTCATGAACTGCCTTTTTTATTATTTTGTACTGTTCTCTGCAGTCTACTAATAATGTAATCAAGATTTTTACATCAAAAAACATCATAATTTAGAAGAAAATGTATGTACCCCCCTCATTGGAACGCTCTGTTTGAATAGGCGTGGCGGATTCTAGACTCGGAAGTAAACACCCACTGCTATGATTGGCTAATAGTTGTGTATGTTTGACAGCCTACATCCTTCATGGATGGGCGCTGCTATGATTTAGGTTAAAAAAAGCATAAATACTCAGTACATATCAAACAGTCTGTAATAACAGACAAAGCAATAGTGACCAAAAAACGTCTTTTAGTTTCAGTCTTTCTGAAAATCCTGCGTCGAATTGTGCCTTGTTTGTAAACTAATCCGCGGTAAAATGAAGTGAACAAAGGACCAAGTTCTTACTGACATGGTCTGGAACTTCATTAAAAATAAAATTCATCCATTCTTTCCTAATGTTGGGATCAGAAGGAAGGCTGTGGTTTTCCATAACTTGGCAATGAACAGCATCTTGTTGTCTTCGGATCCATCTTTATCTTTTGATTTCTGCGTAGACCTGCGTTTGCCTCTCTCGTTATTTACACTACATGTGTGAAACTGTGGGCGGGGCTAAACAGGCAGTGCTGTAGAAGCAGGCATTGATCTTCTACAGTGGTGGTGTTTAGTTAGCCACACTATTACATCATAAAGTGGCACATTCCACAACCTGTCGTTTTGGCAGATTGGCTTCAATACAAGCTGTTTTTAGACTAACGAGAAAGTTTTGAGTTCTGAAACTTACAGGATGTTTTATAGTACAATGACCTCTAAGATGCCAAAAGATCAAGGGAATTTTGATTTCTCAGTTAACTACAACTGTTTTCATACATACATGATCATGTGTACTTGGGTGTATGCTGTATGAGGGAGAGTGTAGGCTGTTTGTGAATGCACACCTGTCACTCTGTAGTTTCCAGGTGCGTGTGTGTTGTGCAGCATCGCCGTGGTGCTGCTGGTGAAGGTGTTGCGGATGCCGCCTTTGCTGCTGTTCTTGCTGCACCTCCACCCAGCAAGGGGGCACTGTTGCCGAGAAGCGTGGCGTCAGCGTTTCAAAACGTGTTAGTTCCACCAGAGATGAAAGTCTCTCTACGGTCAATGGCTGGTCCACTAGGAGGTCAACTCCTGCCAAAAGAGACAGCTTACTATACTGAACACTTCCACAGGTATGAAGCAAACCACCATTTTACTGCTAGTGAGATGTACACAGAGAGAAAATGCAACATCAGATGACACAATGAACAAAGAAGAACACAGAGAGGAAAATTTCCCAGAAAGCTCACATCAGCTGTTTTAAATACACAAAATCCAATTCAGCAGGACCAACTGATTTCTTAAAGGGGTCATATGATGCGATTTCAAGTTTTCCTTTCTCTTTGGAGTGTTACAAGCTGATTGTGCATAGATAAGATCCCTGAAGTTGCAAAGACTAAAGTCTCAAAACCAAAGAGATATTCTTTATCAAAGTTAAGACTCTGCCACGCCCCCCTAAAACGGCTCATTCTAACACGCCCCCACATATCTACCCCACTATGTGGAAATATTTGCATAATCCCGCCGCAAATGTGCACGCAAAGAAAGAAGGCATGGTGTCAGTAACCGCAGTTAGTGTTGAAGCAGCATATCAGGGAGACGCTGTGTGTTTCTAGACGAAAGCAAAAGCACTTTATTTGGCCTTCCAGAAGTAGATGCAATTAGGAATCATTGGTTAAGATTTATTTACAACAGAACAGCACAACCCAGATGTTCGAATTTGTGCAACGCATTTTATGGACGACAGCCAATCAGAGCAGACTGCGCTTGTCGGAAGGAGGGACTTTAGGGATGTAATGGTATGAAAATTTCATATCACGGTTAGGGCTGGGTATCGATTCAGATGTTCCAATTCGATTCGATTTCGATTTTCAAGCTCTCAATTCGATTCGATTTTCTATTCGATTTCGATTTTCGATTCGATTTTTGATTTCAATTCTGGATTCGATTTGAC